ACCTGACCTGCCATCAGTGACCTCAGATAGCAAAGTGTGTGTTTGACGAACAATTAACCATCGAATATTTTCAATACCTTACCAATTTACTCGATTTCACAACACATTTCTTGAAATGCCTGTGACCGGTGAAAATCCGACCTTTGACCTGACCTGTGACGTCATCGGTTTGGCTAAGGTCAATGGAACTTAGTCACCAGGTAGTTCCCCGGTGGGGCTATCGAACGTTGTTTGAATTTTGAAAATCAGCCGGTAAATTTCCGAGATCTTAGGGCGGACTCCCCCCCCCCCCCCTACGGGTGGTAGGGTTGGCCGATAGCCCTAGGGGCGCAGGTTAAGTTAGCTAAATTTCATGAATTTGATCGTTAATGGCGCCTAATTACAAGTTATTTAGAATTATTCTTAGGTCAAAATATCTTTTGTTATCACTAATCATTACAAGTGCCATCCTAAAAATGTCCACCAAATCAATCTGAAAATCTGACTTCACCTAGGAGTCTTCACCCTTGGCCGTATTGGTGTTATGTCTACGTCTAACGTATATACAGGGGAGGGGTCCGTTGGACCGTCTTGCTGTTCGGTCTCTGATCAAGCTAGGGGCTTCACGGAAAAACTAACGTGTTTCCCGTAACGAGGAGAAGCCGATGACATGCAATTTTAAGGTCCTAGGTCAGTGGCTGACCTTCCAGGTCATGTCAATGACCCAAAAGCCGGGAAAATCGAGGCCTGGTAGAACTTCATTAATTGAGTTTGTTATAGGTTTTTTTCGGAGTGATGATCACGAATTTTAGATGAGTTTTGATCAACGATGATGTCTATGCGTTTAAGCCAGGTCGGGTCAGGTCAGGTCAGGTCAACCAGTGGGCGTCCTGCCAGCTATAGTAGGTGTCAATCACCACCTACAGCTTGGAAACATGTTACGAAGGCACCAAAACTACTTCGTAAGTGTTCAATGCTCTAACGACGCTTGTTATACACAATATTGAATAATGTAATATATCAATATACACAATATCTTGAATATATTGTGGTATTTTGCAATATATTCAACTTAATTATGAGGCTTAACCCTCGCCCTGGCAGGGGGGGGGGGGTTGATGCAACCCCCCCCCCCCTAAGGTTTTTCGATAATAGCGTAAAAACGGGCCGCCAAATTTGGCACAGCCTATGAGGCAACTTCTTTACATATGACCTGAAAATTTTAAGTCCGGGTGACCTTGGGTCAGGTCACCAGGTCAGAAAAACCGGTACAAGGTCATGGTTAAATTTCAATTTTCTTTTGCACGTGTCCAACCCACAGTTTTGGACTGATTTCCTTCAAACTTTCAGGATGTGCTAAGTTCACCGAGTTGTATAACATATAGTTCCGTTTTTTGAGGTCACTCACCTGAGGTCAGTTAGAGGTCATTACGTCGTAATGTAAGCCTATGGGAAAATACTAAATTCGGAAAATACTGGAGATATCCGCTTCGTTCCATCACTCTTGTGCTTTGAAACCATTGTAATTAACAGCAGGTCACTTGGTGCTTCTTTGTTTGGTGTACTTATCCATGGGTCAGGTCAAATGAGGTCAACTGAGGTCAAATGACGTTTTTGCTAATAACTTGGCAGATAATGACGCTAGAGCTTAGAAAATGGTGTCATTGTGTTCCTGGTGATCAGCTGAATGGAATGATATGCAATATGATGCAATTTGGTTAACTTGAACTTAATTTGTTAATTAAAGTTTACTTAAAAATTGAGAAAAACTTTAAGTACACTTAAGCGAACAAAAAGTATATGATTCGACGCGCCTTGACGTGCTGAGTTCACTGGTGCTTTTCGTTTTTCTCTATCTTAATTAGATCAAAAGTTATAAGCGAAAAACTTTTAGCCTGTTTTTAGCGAAATTTATACATTTATACCCCCCAAAACCCCCCTAAATATTGACCTAGAGCAACCAAATTTGCACAGGGCGAGAACTCCAGGGACCCACCTACCTACCAAATTTGGTGTTTCTAGGTGCCATAGGAGCCAATCGCGAGGGGGGTCGCATCCCCCCCCCCTGCCAGGCCGTGTTATGAAAAATGCCCTGCCAGGGCGAGGGTTAAAGCCCTCACAGGACCTACATACCTTCTGGCCGAGTGGGGTCGGTAAACGTTGGTACAGTCGTGTACAGGTTGATGGTCCACCACTCTTTATCTACCGGGTTCCTATGGCTCAGCATTGGCAGCAGCCGCCTGGTACCGGTAGGCTGTGCCGCATGACCCGAGAGTGAAACGGCACAGCCTACCCACACTGTATGACACCGGCTCGGGTCGCCTGGTAGAGCGATTTGACCGGACGCTGCGTTGCGTCACACCGGCTGGGAGGGGGGGGGGGAAGAAGTGTCAGGCCTGTCGATTTGGCTCGGCTCGGTGCAGTGGAGAGGCGGGCTGGAGTGTGGTGTGGGGAGGGGGTGATGCGGGGAAGGAGTGAGCGGACCTGGGGCTGGGCGTGTGTGGTCACTTGTCGCATAGAACCGATCGTATCCCTCCTCCAAAAATTCGTTTTAGAGATATTCACAAAACCCATGGGGGGTCAACCACCCATCTCCCAAGTGGGTTGCGGAAGGACAGGTAAGGATGCATGTACAGCCCACCGCTAAAGTAATGTAGGGGTTTACCAATCTCAACGGTTGGCTTTGACTGGCGATTGTTTAATGCGGAGTGATCGAAAAGAAGATGTCAGTAGCTAAAGTTGCAGCTGCAAGGGTGACGATACATATAAGCTACATTCAAAGTTTCATTGTAGTCTGGCTAAGCGTTCCTAAGCTTCAGAAGCAGAACATACCCATGACTGAAACCACACATTACTTCTGCTGTGGACTGTACGGTCTCTCATGAATTGCAGGAAAGAAAGAAAACAGATCAGTCACCAAATAATCTTTCTGAAAAGTGGACTAAACGCAAAGCCTCCCACCGAGAAATAAATATCCAGCACGTCAAGCGCTTCGAGCCGGGCCCTCACTACCGGTCAGTCTGACAGCCAAGCACTCCACTCCTACGCTGAGCTACACCGGATGGTGGCTACGGCCGGGGCAAAGTCTGGCCGGGCGGGCGGCGGGGCCGGGAGGTCGGCGGCAAAGTCAATTAATGTTTTGTGGGTTCGGGTGCCGGTCACTCTAGCTTGGTGGAATGATGGTGTATCATTGGAAAAAAACTTACAGCGTGGAGTCCCGGTTCGAGCCTCGTCAGGGCTCCGGCTGTTTTTCCGAGTTAGGATGGTTTGATTGCTATTGAGGATTATCAATAGACAGATGTGACAAATGTATTATAGTGCATGTATGGCCTAAACTTTTGAATTCATTTTGAATTCATTTAGATTGATTGCCATTAGTGGTTGCGAGCCATTTATACGGTTTTATACATGGCAATTGATTGTTTGATTGATTGATTGACTCATTCATTCATTTAATACGTGCCGAATTTAGCATACGAATTGACATCCAGCATCAATCCATAAACGTATTGCCTAAATATCATGCGTAGGCACAAGACCGTTGCCTCGATACCGTGCCAAATCACGTATTGCACAATGGACAAGTAAAGTAAATTATATTCGATGGGTCTTCCGTGCATTGTGCTTAGCAAAAACAGGAGTGCAATTTTTAAGCGACGCAAAATGTGCAATGCAGCAAGTGATCACACACACCCGACCAGCCCCCATGGTCCACCAACACGCCCCACACCACTCGCCAGCCCACGCCAACCACTGAGACGAGCCCCTCCCCCCCCCGCGCTGGTCTGACGCAACAGCTGGTCTACAAAGCGCTCCACCCGGCGACCCGAGCCGATGTCAAACGGCGTGGGTAGACTGTGCCGCATAACTTTCGGGTCATGCGGCACAGCCTACCGGTACCAGGCGGCTGCTGCCAATGCTGAGCCATAGGAAACCGGTGGATAAAGAGTAGAGGACCATCAACCTGTACACGACTGTGCGATCCCCCTCGCCGTTGATGGAGCTAGAACCTCGTGGGAAAAAAAAACGCACTTGGACGCCGTTACGAAATGCAGCGATTGGTACCTGATTTTAAGGTCAGGTCTCAAGGTAACTGGTGACCTCTGTGGTCAGGTCAAGTGGCCCAAGTCATGGTTTGGTTTTTTGGTAAATAGCTTCGAATAAATGATCACAGAGCCGCGATTTTGGCATCATCGTGGTCAGTGGTCACCTAGCTCAGGCGCGTCGAATGGGATATGTTTTGTTCGGATGAGGTCAACATAAGATGTTGACCTTGGGTCAAGGTCATGTCAGAGCCAGTCAGGTCACGAAGCTGTTCGAAAGATTTTTGATCGGGAGTTGATTGAGATTTTGAGTTTGGTCGGGAGTTATTGACGAAAAACTTATGACCCTAGTGACATCATAAATGACGTCACGCAAGGTCAACAATGCAAAAGTGAAGCATCGGACCTTGCAAAGAGTGCATGAAATCACGAGTCCATGTGCTTGAGATAGTTGTATATTATTCCTGGCGCCAAAATAACAGTTTCCATATTTCTGCATTGACTTATAATGGTGAGGTCACGTGATCGCCCTGACCTCATGTGATCTTTAGGAAAAATCCGAGTTAAACAGGTTTTGAGACCTCTTGAGGATACTACGTTCTGTAACTTTCATCTCCCTGTGAAAGTTCGTCTGGCACGGAGGGTGTTACGAAGTTGCGGCATCTGAGGACCGTGCAGAGATTCATTTATATCGTCGTAGCTCAGTGACCTGACCTGACCCAAAAATGCAGTTGCTGTCAAAAGATCCAGCTTGAATTAAAGGTCGTTCATGCTTTCAGCTCTCTATCCCCGGCGTGTTCGAGCTATCGCGAATATAAAAAACTGGGGCGAGGGCCAGGTTTTTAATTTTCATTTTTGTGTTATGGCTGTGTTACAGGATTTGGTGCTCATTTATATGGCGTGGGTATTGACAGGATCACGTGGGTGTTTGGACACCCCCAGCTGACAGCTGCATACAATTCTCCACGTATGCCTCAGGTTCGTACATACGGTGGCTCTGTCCGACTGCGCACCGAGTCACTGGAGCGGCTGGAGCAGCAGGCCGGCGGCCTCCAGTCGGCTCAGCGGGCCGTCGACAACGCCTACTCGTTCGTCTGAGGCGCGCCTGCCAGCACCACTGGTCAGCTGCAGTGCGTCGGTACTGCACTCGCAGCTACTCGGACAGGGACCTGCGCAAACACGTTGTACTTATACAGGTCACCGCCGATCAGTACCTAATGTGAGGATGTACGTAATCGAACAAAAGCCGGCACCATTCAGTAATAGTGAGATGTATCGTCAAAGGCGAGCATCGCACAGCTTCGTATTTCAATTAGACAACTTTCTTAAATGTGTCACAATTCTACCTGCCACAGCATACTCGCTATCATCGAACAACTGTAATATCTACCCACCTTGACGCACCCCAGAGTCTCTGTGACCGCCACTGGGCAGAGTTGTGAACCTACGCGCGTGCATGAAGAGTCATTGCTGTGCGAGTCATTGCTGTGCATTCCAGTATAGTGTAGCCATTGATGATCTGGACACAGTGGCGTAGCCAGACATCAGCGAAAGGCTGATGGCATGGTGCTCGAGGGGGCGACTTTTTCGGACGCCATTGTCAGCTAGTGACAGGGGCGTCAGTCTAAAATGTAACGTCATGCTTACCTATGCATGATTTACTAGGTGTTGCAAAATACGAGTATAAGAAAGAACCAAGTTTCGCTGTTTTTTTTCATAAAATCCAATTAGTGCCATTGCAGCCCAGTGTTTTTTCATAAAAAAAACCTTGGTCTTGATGAATATTTAGCACGATATAGGAAACGAGCTCAGGCTACAGACATTTTATTCTCAAAATACGCATCCATGCGAATTTCTTCGGCCGACGTAGCCTATAGAAGACGACCTTTGATGATGTGAGTGTGTATGATCGACTTTGAATAAGCGCCATAGAAACCTGCTGATCTCACTGAACATTCGCCTTGCGTAACCCTCAGGCAAATATCTACATTGATGGTCAGGTCAATTTTGCGACCTCTCCATTACCTATAAGTTAACCCGCGCCGTGCTGGTGGCCTGTGTTTTTCGTGTCGTGCCTGGGGGGGACGTTTTCACGCCCCCCTCTAACTCGGCTCCTGGGCCACGTAGCGACACACGGTAAGTGGCAATCAAAGGAGCGTCAAAAATAATATTGACAGAAGCATTTCGCTCATTTTTTAGATCAGGTCAAAGGTCAGGTCACCAGAGGTCATCAAAGGTGAAATTTAGTCCATTTCAGCAATTTTGGAAACTTCCAACGGCTAACTCGGGAACCAATCGAGCTACAGCGTCGCGGAAAAGCGCATTCGATAGCCCTTTTACAGACCTGAGTGTTGCTCTCAGATTGGACATCAGGTCAATGGTTTAGCCTCCAGAGAGGAAAAACTAAAAAGTAGCATTAAAAATGGAATTATTGTACTGGGACATATTGTTTATAGCAAAAAGAGTTATTCCACACCAGTAACGTTTATATACCTAAGTGGTAGCTTTCGAAGGCTACTGCCTTCTTCGTCAGCCATATAGGTATATGTTCTAACACAACAAGACAATACACATTTGAAAAATACAATCTCATTTTCACGCGGAAATAGTTAAAGTGCTCGCCTGGTTGGAATGATGCAAATACCAAGATGCCTATAAGAAACAAGTAGGTTGGATGTTTTGATTAAAACCCTGGTGACGTCACTGACATTTCTTATTTGGAGAATTTCGCCTATAAGGAAAGTACGAAAATTTACATACGAAAATTTGTATTTTATAAGCAAAAATTAAATCTTTCAATTTCATTATGAAACTTATATAATTTAATTATTACAAAACTTGAAATCCTTCGAGTGTTTGTCCCAACCCCCTGCTATACCTTTGGTCACGTGACTGAAATGATCAACTTTGCGTTTTGCAATGTTAGGACTTAAACAGAAGTAATAAATGTTAGAAGTGTATTATTTATGATGTTTTAGGCAGAAATCGTGTAAATATATCCTTAAATTATATATAATCTGTTGAAAAGAAGTCACGTGATGCTACCAGATTGTGCTCGGACAGCATCTTCTTTAACTCCGATTTTGAGTACTTTGTACCTCCATAGAGGCCTAATAACGGACGTTTTCAGTTATAAAATGAAGCACTGAATCTAATAAGGGCAAAATCTAATTATTTGTTGCCCTTCAGGCTGGGCTATCCAGGTATGAACTTTGGCCAGTTTGTGTGTAAAGCCTATGGTGAAGGGAAAACTTCACGCCCAGCTGACGTCACAGATCTCGGCTACCAAATCGTGTCCGGTGGGGGTCGGCAAACACACAATAACACTTACACATATCGTTAAACAATGATATATAAGCCTCAAAGTACGGCTCTCCAGTACAACAGTGGTTGGTTTTGCTTTTTAGGCTATATCTGGTCTTATATTAGAGGTGGCAAAATGTGGACCCGAGGACCCGGTCCAAAGAACCAGTCTGGACCCATATGGGTCCAGACCGGTTCCTGGAAATTTTCTGACGGGTCCAACCGGGTCCTACCATAAACTGTACATCTTGCACACTACACATTATTGCAAAATATGAAGTGAACGTTTCTTGGCACACAGTAGCTCATGAGTACTCCCAGTGGGAAATAGGCTGCTTTACATGTTGCTACTAATGATACCTACAAGTAGTTTGTATTAATTGACTTTTGGGGAACCGGGTCCAACTGGTTCCGATTCCAACTAAGGCCGGGTCCGACTGGTTCCAGAAATGTCCAGCCGGGTCTGGTTCGAGTCTGGTTCCCAAAATTTTCATCTTTTGCCACCTCTATCTTATATCAAGTGCATATGCATAAGTATTAACCCGATTTGTGCGTATGCACATTTGCCACGATACTGTGAAATTGCATCGTCGTAAGACAATTACTTTCTGAGATATTTAGCAAAAGCCTCATTTTCTGCCGTTTGGGGCATTCTGGCCGCAGTCTTCCTGGGATCGCCTATGACATCCGTGGTGTCACCTACCGAGACGGACGCGGAAACACAGAATCATGAATCAATCGAGCGCGTAGTAAACGGAGCATGAAAGGGAGACTCAGCAGCGGCTATCCGGGTGGCCGGCGCGTGGCGCGCCCTCAGGCACCAGCTGACCCTTCGGACCGCGTGGGGTCAGAGGTCGCGCTCGGGTAGTCTCGGCTCTGGGTCTTAGCGCTGTGAAGCCAGGAAGGGAGGGGAGGATAGCGCTAGCCCGACTGACTTGTAGCTCGGCTGATGTGTGTGGAGCGGAAGGCGAGCACAGAACGGGATGGTGGATAGTGCGTATAGCGGACCGGATGCATTACCTTCACAACCTGTGATATATGTAATATTTTAAATGTTATGACACAAAGCCCTATTTTCAGGCCAGACCAGGTCACTGGCCGACATAAGTTAGACTTAGCAAGATCTTAAAATGCCGCAGCTTTGCAAGCCTCCTATACTAGAGGATCATTTACAAGGAAATAATTCTTACAGGATTTAGTAGGTATCTAAGGTCTCAAAACCTTTAATTCTTGTATTTTCCTTAAAGGCAGAGCCTATTTTAAGGGAATTTGACTGGGGGGGGGGGCAACCTGGAAAATTGTCTTAAATAATCCATCCATTAACCCTCGCCCGTATTGGTGTTTTCCAGCTGCGAATGTATACGGGGGGTCCGTTGGACCCTCCCCCCCCCCCTTGCCGTTTGGCCCCTGACCGAGCTAGAGCTTCGCGGAAAAAAAACGACCGTGTTGCCCGTGATGAAAAGAAGCCGATGATACCCAACTTTAAGATCCTAGGTTATCGGTTGACCTTCCAGGTCAGGTCAACGACCCAAAAGTCCGGAAAATCGGGACCTGATAGCGTCGTAAAGGGTGGCTGCTATGTTTTTGTTTTTTTTTGTGCTGATCACGAATATCATGCTAGTTATGATCATAGATGATGTCTTCATGCATTTAGGCCAGGTCGGGTCAGGTCAGGTCAGGTCAACCAGCAAGGGTTTTGCCGGGTATTCCTAGTAGGTGTCAACCGCCTCTGAGGGCTGTTCACGGGCCCTGAATCAGAATCAGAATCAGAATATATTTCATAACGAATCCATCGAATATGGTTTTTCATCGTCACACGTCAAAGGTTGAAAACATGCGAGGTAAAATACATTCAGGCCAATACAATACACCGCGATACTTGATCAGGTCAGCCATACAGTTCTCTGAGTAGGTAGCGTCTCAGGGTGGATTTGAAGTGGCGAGTGTTTGTGTCGAATGGCAGCTAGTTGTACTGCTGGACAGCACCGTAGCTGAGACGCCTGCGACCCGACTCAGAGTGTATCCTCGGTAGCGTGCGCTGAGAGGAGCCTCTCGTCTGATACACGTGGTCTCTACTGGGGCCGATGCACATAGCGATGCATTCGGGACTACCGGTCGTGATGGCAGCATGGGTGAGACACAGTCGGTGATACGTGACAAGGCCACGCGCGTCTAACCAGTTCAGGTCACGGAGAACGTCCGCTACATGGTCGTGCTTACGCCGGCCGCTAACCACTCTGGCACCAAAGTTTAGGAGCTTCTGTACTCTATGTAGCTGCGTTGCATTACATGTACCGTAAACCGAGATGCAGTATCTAATGATTGATGTCACAAGAGCCTGCACGATCGTCACGACAGCACTTTTCGGAACTACATGTTTGGCATGCATCATACCAAGAAGAATACCCGTGCACTTTGATGTTACATGGTCCACATGCGACTGGAAGCTCAGATAATTGTCCATGATGACACCCAAGTTCTTCACTACTCTAGAGTCGGGTATGGTGGTTCCTAGGAAGTCTAGTGCCACTAGCGGTAAACCTCTCAGCATAGCAGGTGTACCGAGCATAAGTGCCTGGGTTTTGGACGCGTTTAGTTTCATCCCGTTTGAACAAAACCAGTCGTACACATTGACAAGGGCCTGCTCCATGCGGACAATTAAAGCAGGCAGCTCACTTTTCTTGCCGCTGACAAGCAACTGTGTGTCGTCCGCGTATTGTACCACTCGGACCCCGTCGGGCACAAACAAACTGAGCTCGTTCGTGAAGATGGTGTACAAGACACAGCTGAGCGAGCCGCCCTGGAAGACCCCGATGGAGTTGGGCTTAGCAGCGGAACACATGGGAGTGCCGTCACCACCGATCACTTGCACTTGCTGAGTGTGGCCGCGCAAATAGTCTCCGAACCACTCTGTGTCTACACCATACAGCGCCAGCTTATCGAGTAGTCTGGCGTGCGGTACCACATCGAAGCACTTCGATAGGTCAAGTAGCACGAGCACAGATATCTCGCGACAGTCCATAGCGCAGAGGACGTGTTCGGTGATGACGCTGAGAGCGGTCTCCGTGCTGTGACCCTTCCGGTATCCGTGCTGGGCGCTGGAGAGCAGCTTGTTGGTCTCCAGGTACTGAGTGAGCTGGAGCTGCACTACTCTCTCAGTAATCTTCATCACTCCCGGCAGAATCGAGATTGGGCGGGTGTTGGCTGGAGCTGAAGGTCCTTTCCCCTTCGGGATTGGCGTGACAAGCGCGTGTTTCCACGCCGCCGGCACCTGACAGGTCACCAGGCTCGTGTTGATCATGTCGAGCAGAATCTGTCCAGTACCCCAGAAGTA